ACAACAAAATATCCTATTATCTATTACTAGTTACTTATTACAAAATATAAATACATTTTTTATTTATTTAAAATGCATTTAGACATATTTTGTAATAATCATCTGGGTAAAATGTATAGATTTTATATTTTTATCTTAAAAATAATAAGTCTTCGGTTAATACCTACTGGAATAAATCCGTACTATTTGCTAATTAATTTTATAAGACTTAAAAGGAAAACTACAAACCATTATATGAGTATATTATATTGTAAAAATATTGCTAGGAAATATTTACTATGATATTTTGTAAATTAAAATGTATTTGTCATTTATACATAAATATATAGATTGAATTTATTTTAACCATCAAAACAGAATAATATAATATTTGTCCTTATTTTATTATCAGTTATTTGAACTTATTTCATATACTTATTACTTATTTAGATTTATATCGTTATTCTCCTATTAATTTCATAATGGTTATTTACCTAAGTAAAAAGCATATTTTATTATAATCAAAAAGAACTTGTAAATAATATAGCAAAACCCTTCTACCTTTAATATCTGATCAGATTTTATTTAAGGTTATAAAAAACTAAATAATGTTTCAGTTTTTATAATTCTAAAAAGGTTCCGATTTTATAATGGTTGTTTTTTTTTTTATTTAATTCTAGTTTTGTAATAAATATGACTTAAAATAATATAAATAGCTTGAAATACTTAATCATGAAAATTTTGAAAATAAACTTCTATAGATGTAAGAACTATGTGACGTGTAAATGTACCTATAATATCATTATTTTATTTTTGTATTGAATGTAAATTGTAAATTCTTGTATTCATTTTGGAAAATTCTTCATAAGGTAAATTACGTTCTGAATTAATTTCGTATTTTACGTTTATTATAGATATAAATATATTAATTATACGATTATTATTTATTAATCTGGTATTTAGATAGAAATTTAAGATAAATTGTTTTTTTAATATCTTAAATATTTAATTGTATTTTATGAGTTGAATTTCTCTAATTGTTAAGTTTAAATACGTATGAGGGGCTTTTATATAATGTAATATGTTAGGTATATACGTATCATAAAATTAATATATTACTAAAAATACTTCTTGAAAATGAAATATAATTTGTTTAACAAAATATGAAGTATAATATATTATAATGTAATTTTTTTTGATAAAAAAATGTACTTAATAAAGCCTAAACAGCTACAATGTTTTGGTGTAAAATCGTATGTCTTTTAATGGATAAATTTGATTTACAGTGTCAGTATCGTAGTAGGAAAGCTGTAGCGTAAACGCATACATTTATACCATACAGTATAGGTTACCTACATTGTACACAAGAATGAAATTTCACGAATTTAATATTCGAGCATATTATACTCGTTCAGCCATATTATTGCGACACTATAGGACACATTTTGTGGTGTGATGTTTGTGGTTGTATAGTGTTGTTAAAGTGTTTAGCATGACGCGGGTTCAGTTTACCGTGGCAAATCTGCGGTTTTCGTGTGGATACTGGAGAGGGAAAGATTGGAAAACGCCATTGTGCTTACGTGTGTTTTTATTATTTTCCCCTCCAACTCGGTACCCAGTTTTCGTGTATGAAACGCGTGATAGATAAAAAAAATACTACTGAGCCTATATTTATACTGCAGCTCTCTCAGCGATAATAATAGCTAAATAATATTATGTATTATAATATACTTAGTACTATCGATCTGTGTTATATTTGTACGCCTCAGCCCACGGGCTCTATAATGAACATGGTAATTAAATTGTCTTGTTACTTTGTCATCGGATACTGCACGCATGTCCATCGTACGCGAGCTCGATGCTTGAAATGCTACAAACCCGACATATGTGACGCAGATAACATCTTCGGATCACTGCATATTTTGCTCATGGATGATGTACGGTCCACACCCTCGGTCGATTTGTCACATTTAATAAACCATCGTCGTCGGATTTTCACAAACGCTCAGACAGGGAGAGGGCCAGTTTTTGGGGTAGATTGTCATCTCGACCACAAGTACGCCGTCATTAGACACGGCGGCGTTTATATTGTCGAGTAATAAAAACCTGCAGCCGATGGTACAAAGCATAACTCACATACGGTGTTCACATGGTATAATATAGTGACTGGTAATATGCGAGGAGATTCTGGCATGCTGTCGCACGCGAAAAACTCCAAAGGGGTACAATTTTCCACGGTTTTCCGGTCGAAACGAAAGGCGGCGGGCAGGCGGCATAGCCGGTGTGTGTGTGTGTGTGTCAAGGAGGAAGTCGAGAATAGTGACTTGGTTGGAGGAGAAGACGCCGAGGGGGGAGGGGGGTGAATGGCTGCTCAAAGGGTCGAGAGAGAAAAAAAGAAGGGAGAGATCGATATCGCAAAGAATCCAGCGCACGTCTCTTTTCCCATTTGCCGTGTCGGCGTGTGCGCGTATACATATATATAAAATTATACGACTACGTTCGACAAAAGTGTTTTTTCTTCCATTTTCTTTAAGCACACACACACACACACACACACCTACACGCTCATCCACGCACATATACATATATGTTTATAATACACACACGGTTTACATTCGTTTTCCTGTACGCGCACGCAATATTATATTATGCTCCTGCAGCCGTATTCGACCGTGTCCGCCAAAACAGCTCATCCGACTCAGATTTGTTGAATAACTGCAGCGTTATTCATACAATATACTTGTTGATGACGAAATCGTACCACTCATATGATTTTTGCAGGTACATAATATACGTCCATGTCTGAACTATATGGGCCCGCAACATCGGGCGTGCGTGTGGTGTTTTGATTCGGACGCTAGCGCTCGATTTGAACGCCACTATTATAGCTGCTGCTGCTGTTACTTCGAAAGTCGAAACTCGCCACTGTGAAATGTGATTTTCGGATGGTGCGCGCCGTTAAGCGCAAGGGATGGGGGTCATTGAGTCATCGAGTCATCACGATTCCGTGCGCAGAGTGTTATCGTTTTCAGATTAGCCTTTTTAGACTCAATCGCACGGAAATGATAAATGGCCGTATATGTACGGGTGTGTACACTGCAGAGTGTGTGTATACACTCGGGGCGCGCGCCCGCCACTGGAATAAAAAGACCTCTCCGACATGAAGTGCGAGGGTGTGAAAAACGCAGACAACAGGTTGCGCGTTTCCGCGCGACTTTATGAAGATAATGATATTAATAATAATAACACGACCCGATGATTTTCGCAGCACAACAGATGTGCCGCCGCCGGTCTTTCCGTTTCGACTGGCCGTCAATGATTAACAGCCTCGGACGACGACAACGACGATGATCGATAACAATGCGAGTTTAGTGAAGCTTAAACATTGTAATGTGTTGTGTATTATTCGATGTTCAAGGGGCTAGTCAGGGTTTTATTTTGGCAGTGAATATTTAAAATAGACATAGTCGACGAATATTATTTTATCATGTATCGTGTTACTGTAAGGGGTGTTTTCACGTGTATTTTTATGCTTGATTAGGCGTATATCATTAGTATAATAAACAATAATAATATCATATTATAATTATTGCGTTAGATCAATAAAAGTTTTGCAGTTCAATTCTCGATTATTTTGACATTTTATTTAGCTTAAAAGTATTACAACATTTTTTTAAAACGTAATTATTTTTGTGAAAGAATAGACAATTATTTTATAATACGTGTTGATAATTATTTTGAAATCAGAGAATTTTATAGTGTAGCTTGTTATATTATAATATGAATTTTTATTAATACAATAAAACGTAATAATTAATTTCAGTAGGTATGCGTGTACGAAAAGTTTTTAAACGTATATGTACCGATGTAATTGGTATTTCTCTTTTTCAAATGTGATATTACTACAGTTTCATTTTATATTATTACAATATATAATATTATAATAAGTATTGGTTATTATCAGTAATTATAATTGGAAATTTCTCAACGCCAAGAAACCATTACGTAATTTCCCGTTTTCGTTTTCACTGTAGGTCCTTCTTTGTTCCATGACGAATTTTACGAATCCACGTTTGATTTGTTCGCACATACTACCTACAGAAGTACCGACTGGCGACTACCACCTTTCTGATACCTATTGACTATAAAATAATGTGCTATTTGCGTTGCAAATTGGACAGTAATATTATAATATCATCTACGACAAATCGTACAACCATGCTGGACTTCAAAAGTAAAAAGTATCGTATTTTCCTTTGATACAGCCACGAAATATATCGGTATTATAGCGCTCTGGTATAGTAAATGTGCTTGCTTCAGTGGTATGCTCGTATATATATATATTTATTATAAAGTTGTATTGGTAAGGAATTTTATTAAAACGCCGCCGAATCCCACGGGTGCAGTCGCTTCTACTACTTTGCGATTAATAAAAACATATACACTACCAGCTCCCCCCCCCTTCGTTCATATTCCAATTCCCGGGCGGTACACCCTTTTTATTGTTATTGCTTTCTATCACCATCTAATCATGTAATCTCTAATGGCCCCTCGATAAAGTTACTGTAATAACCCAGTGGTCTTTATCTTAATCAAACAAGTTGTTGGATTTAAAATAAAGGGAATACAACTATATTTTCGACATATGGTCTATTATTATAAGGGTTATTTGCAAAAAAAATATGCAAATATTTATATTTCAAATTTTAAAAATATGCTATAAAATTGTTATTTGTATTAATTATAACTATTTTATTTAAAATATAAATACCTATACAATAGTCTACATTATAAAAGTATTAGGTACACTGAGTTATTATAGAAGTGAGTGTTCTATCTTATGTAGAATATGATATAATATTAAAATACATATTATAATATAACAATATACTAATAATGTAGTACCTATATTTATATATATATTACGAGATATTTCTCTTACACCTTATTACCTTAATAATATGTATCATGGTGCATTTTAAACTATTTTATTAAAAAAAATAATAATAAATATCGCTTACCGATTGATTGACGAAACGCTGGGTACGTTGTCTTGTGTACAAACGCCTTCTGCCAACAGTCTGTCTCGGATTTCCCAAGCAAACATAGTAGGATTCTCTCGTTTGTAGTTCGCTATGGAATCTACAACAGGCGCAGTAGCCACTTTCGGTTTGCTACCTCCGATTACTCCGGCTTTGAAACTACCAGTTTCGTAGTACCTGAAAATGGGCGAAATGTTAACATTCGATAATACAATATAATATCACATTTTATATTATTATTATTATTATTATTATTATTATTGCAATGGTGGCCACGCGCGTTTTGGAGTTCGTGATCACCACATTTGGTTTTCTGTAAAGGCACACCTCCGAGTGTTGCAAAAAACAATGCGTCCTTTTTACCATATGAAAGGCCTTCTCCCCGCGACGGTGGTCATCGCCAGGATATGGAAAATGACCGTTGGTCATTATATGCATATGAAGATGCCCTACTTCCGGGACACGATCCCGTTTAAAACAAAGGAGTTATATAGTGATTATTTATTATAGTAATAATATACGCGGACACATACATAACATTATATATTATCATTGTGTTTGGAAGATAGTAATTTTTTTCGTCCTTTCCACGTCCCGCGTACAGTACCTATATAGAAAGGGCAGATTTTAGTCTAGTCATGTAGGTCCGACCATTGTTTCCGGTGCTTTTAAAAACGACGCTGAAAAGTATTTGCATGCCGGGCGTGGAACGCGGTGAAATGTTAATATCACTGACGCTGTTTAGTCCGAGTATTGAAAATAATGTACAACGCTTTTATTTTGTAAAAAAAAAAAAGAAAAAATGCATAACCGCTAGGAAAAAATTAGTCAGTTTGCTAGTAAACGTTCAATTAACACGCCGCAGTGATCGCGTTGACAATATTGTCTCGACGCATTAAAAACGCAAAGTTCAGAGCAGCTTAATTGGAACAAACGAGTCGTTAAATTAGAACTGTGTTTCTAAAGCGGTGTATTTTTTCGACCCCAAAATCTCCGTATCTAAAGTGGTATTTATAGTACATAGCAGTTTGTCAATGTCTACACCTGAGCCAAAATCACGAAGAGTCGAAAATACGATCCGGTGTACACGAATCACAAAGAGTTTAAAGTAATTTTTTTTATCCGAAAAAATACACAGACTCGAAAATATATTATTCTTGGACGCACGGCCGGCGAGATACGATTATTAATTCGCCCACCCCTCCCCGTCCCGACCGGACCCTACACGCCGCCGACCCGGTTACACAGTCGTAGCTTGCACAGCCACACGATATTATAATATTATTATTGTGTATCATACTGAATAAAAATACCTATGTGGAGTGCTTTTTATAACGATCCAGGAGCCCGTCTTCGTAATATACCAACGGGCACGAAAATAATATCGTGTAGGTGATTGTTATATGACTTACATAATATGATAAGCAACCGCGGTATATTATAATAGTATACCTAGCACTAGTCACTATAGGTATACATTTTATTATTTTTTAAATACCAAGTGATAGTTATATACAATCGCCTACTAATTAATACTATATCGTATATACATTCGTAATAATTATTTATGATAATATCGTATTAATATGCACAGTATATTATTATTATTATTATTGTATAATATGTCACGCCGGTCGGATCGAAACCGCCGGACATATCGCTGTACAATTTTCACAAATTTATCAATATTATACACGGTCCCGTCGGCAACCCTTCCGCGTGTGTTAGGAATCGCTTCATATTTAATATAATCGAGACTCATTGTTCGAGGGACGGGCGTATACAACGATTTTTCACGGTTGTTTTTGCCACCGCGGTCCATACATAAATGTATAATATGTGTGTGCACCGTCGACCCTATATTATAATATAATAATTTCGTCGCGCGATATTAAATTATTAATATTATTATTATTATTATCATTATTGTAGGTCTGCCGACCGAACTAAAACTGTATTATACACCACCGCCACCGCATATAGAGCTAACTCAATTTTGCACTTAGTCTGGGCACGCGCGCGCAGGCGGTGACACTTCCCAGAAGCCGCCTCACGGATATAATACACGCGGCCGCGGTTAATGTTATTATAAAACTCGCCAAGGGCGGAAACTTGCGAGGCTGAGGGATGACAGTCGGCGGGCGGTGGTGGTGGAAGAAACGGATCGGACGGGAGAATGCTATCTAAGCGATACGTATATAATATACACGACGGAGTGGCAGTGAAATAATATCTTAAATACGAAAAACCATAAAAAAAATAAAAATAGAATAACAGTTTTCGATTGTATACTTTAGTGCTTCTCGCCGCAGCGTTGTAGTAAGTTGATTTGTTTGTATTTTTTAATACAACATGTCCCAGCCATGGGTGCGCATATTTTTCAACTACGATGATATTATCATACCGACATATTATTATAGGTTTTCGTCATAATAAAGCTGCTGGCATTAAACGATATATTATAATTAATAGGTATGTAAGCGTACCTATTTTAATATTATTTAAACGTTTGCCGATAATGGAAAAAATACAATTGCCTTTAGTTTGGTTTCGATCGAGTTTTTGCAGTAGTTATGCAGGGATTCGTGTATGAAGCGAGGCTTACGTATATATCTATAAGCGTATATATTATATATAGCAATCATATATTGATAATAAGTACACGAATAACTTTGATGACGGATTGTTATTAATGGGTGAACAAATTATATGATATTTTAACTGTATACTCGAAAGCCCAACGCGTTCGATATAGCGACGTATTATCATATAAATTGTATATACTATATATACAATTTATAATTTTTAAATCGAATTTCTGGCACTTCTATTGCGAAATAATATACGCACGTACATAATCTATATATCTATTGTATTATGTGTAATACTATGTGTAGACACAATATGAAGTTGGCGTACTTGATATTTTTTTTTGGTAGGTCCACTTGTGCCTTAATGCATAATGCATGTAATACACCAGCACGCGTAACCCGTTTCCGCGAACAAAAAAAAATAAATGGCAAAAAGATTCGCGTATAGAGCGTACGGGTGAGAGAGAACCGGAGAGTAACATAAAAATTAATAGCGGCGACATGGTTTTTACGACCTTCTCTATTTTATTAGGGTATGTTTGTAAAAAAAAAACAAATACAATATATATATGTATATATATTATACGGGGACGATATATTGTCCCACAGAAGACCGGAAGCGGGGGAAAAACCCGTGGACATCAGTTGCGGTCGAGGCTTGAAAGAGTAGATCCATTATCTTGGTTCCGGTATACTATGGTAATTGTTTCATATATTGAATTGAACGTTACTAAAAAAATATATATATGAATACCAGAGAAGAAAGGAAATTGTCCTTAGGATCATAAAAAGTCGGTGGTTGTTTATTTTAAAAGGCTTTTAATCTAGTGGTAAATATAATAATCCGCTTGTTCTCGGAGCACGCAAGTTAGGACAATTTTAAATACAGCTGAGTAGTTGCAATGATATAGATTCACGAACATTAACCCGGAGCAATGAATACTATAATAGTATAATATGATATACATTAGAATTTATTACTCTTGGTAAGTCGCAGCCACTCGCAGGATCATAGATCTCGGAATAGCCGAATGATGGTATGGGCCAACGGAAAAATTTTATCCGGCTTGCAGACAAGAAAAAAAAAGTAAAATCCGATTATACGTTCTAGCTTTGCGATATTATCATTTTGTTCATGGTTTTTACCGACGTCAGCAATTTTGATGGCCCCGAATAATTTCCAGATTCCCATTGCGTCCCAATATTAATTGTTGACCCTTGGTGTAGACGCTGTTTAGTATAATATACAGTTTATACCATATGCGATTGGAAAAAATAAACGGTTTTCTATCGTTTTGCAATAAGTAATTATTACCTGGACAAGATTTTCGAAACGCATCCGTGAGAAACTCTGAGCTGCCTGGATATGTCGCACGGTCGGGTCCCGTTGTGAGCCAGTTCGACTATCCTTTGCCTGACCAGGTCCGGTAACGGTCGGCCGTTTACGAACACTCCGCCCAGTTGATTTACACCACCGTGACCTGCGAACGACAATAAATAATAATCTGTTAGTGTGTACACGTTAAATAGCCTTGGCGAAGATGTACAAACAAAGGATCGATTTCAAGTATTAAATATTATTATGTGCCATATAGCTATATATATATATATGGTATATAATATAAATATTATATCGTGGACAATAATAATATACATCGCGTATTTTATATACATAATATTATTGTACACGAGTACACGACGATCCGATCAATGCGTTATTCTTTTGTTCGTGCCGTCTTCGCGTATATATATTTTACACAGGTTATTATCGGATACCGTGTTATATATATATATGTGTGTATATCATGTATCATACAACGCCACACCGCAAAACACGTCGAGTAAAAAAATCGCCAAAAACCGATAATTATTGTTACACATACGCCTAAGTATCATTACAATGCTCCGAACGATCGTCGCGCGTATATTATTGTTAATATTATATATACCGCAATCACGTATTGTCCCGGTTTTTTATCCGCTAATATTATGATATATTATTATAATATTATATATTTGGTATACATATTATTCCGATCGTCCACTTCACACGCACGATATTGCTGCACTGCGACTGCTATTATCCCCATGTAATGTTATAAACTATATATAATAATAATAATACGATATATTATTATACGTGTGAGTGCAACATCGCGATATAATATTTGAGCGACCACGACGACGACATTATTTTTATGATGATCGATTTTCAGTTTACCGTCTTGCGTACGGGACAACAAATCTGGAGGTGTTTAATATTATATTTGATATTATATACTTGTACACGATAAAATAATACGTCATATTATAACGATTTAAAATATAATATAACAATATTATTATTGTACACTATATACTATTTACGGGTGCTATTTAGGCTCGTCGTTTTAATTAAAACATCTGGTCGCATTGTGTAAGGGCGCGTGCGACGGTTTAATACAATCATTTTGTTTACAACGAGCACACACACACAATATATAATAATAATAATATAATGAGTGGCGGTCGGAGGACGGTCCGAATCGGACGGTCGAAAAGTGTGAAAAGGTCCGGTTCGGCTGACCAACAATATAATATACCTCGTATATACACAGTAATAATAATACGAATATCGGACGAAAAATCTATCGTGCTGGGTCGTTTGCACGCGTGTGGGTGTGTGTGGGTGTTTGTGTGGAAATTCGTGTTTGTATATTATATAATATAATAAATATGTGTGTTTGTGGGTGTGGTACGTGGCGTTTACGATTACAAACAAAACTACCCGCAGTCGTGTGCCCGCGTATCAGATGGTCTAACGAGATAATCTCGTTTGGGGCTTTGCGGGGGTCGGCCGACGAATTAAGCAGATTATCCTCGAAGTACCGACGACGGGGTTAAGAGGGCGGTGGCTATTAAGGGTCGACATGTTGTGGCTCTCGAGTCTCCGCGCCGCCGTGAAAACAATAAACCTCCGCTAATTTATATTTATACGTGTAAATAATGTACCTACCATGCGGTACCAGCTCTACAACGGTGCGCTTGTGTTCGGTGAAGAGCCCTCGAAAGACCGCCTCGCGATGAAATATATACCGCGGGGTGGTATCCAACCACTGGTCTCTATAATAATATTATGCTAAAACATAATATTATATAATAGGTAAATAATATTATGATATTATTTCGGACGTCGAAATTATCCGAAACCCCGTATAGATTATAGAATAATATATTAGAATACCGGGATGAGCGATAGTTGATAAATGTATAGAATAGGAATAATAATATGAGGTACGCGTCGATATCGTATACCAACAATTTATACTTTATATAGTACCTATATATTAAGGTTTAATGTTTATTATATATTTTTATTTACTTTTTAGGTATCACCGCCGTCTAACGAAACTTTACATCGTTGCCATTTCGAGTCGCGTATACAATTCAATTTAAAAAAACAAAATAATAAAATACGTGTACTCCGGTGGTCGATATAGACGTAAAAAACACACTGTGTAGTGTGCATTAAAAGATAAACTGCCCACATTGGATCGGTTTTTGTTGCGAAAACAATCAGTAACTTTTCCAACACGGAGATTGCAGTTTTATCCCTGTTAAGAGTGTTTGGCCCTTTGGGATTACTCGCCCTTGTTGCTATTAATGAATCTACCCTACAGAATCGAGTGTCGATTAAAGGGCCACGCGCGCGCACACCACTCGACGTGTATGCAATGTATATATTGGTCACCCCGTGCCTGAAATATAATCATGATGATATCATTATTGATATTACAACGAATTACTTCACATACTTACTGGATCAGAAAAAATAAAGTATAATATTATGCCTAATGTTGGTTGTTTAAATTGTCTATATTTTGGACTTTCGTATCATTAAGTAGTACACTAATACGTAATGACTATATAATGAGTAATGACATACCTATACCGGTTACTCTGAATTATTTAAAAAACTTTACAATTATAATATGATATTATACAGAAAAGAATGATTCATCCATTGTTTAATATATCATCAAAAAAGTAATTTTATTTTTATTTTTTAATTATGAGTCGAGTCTGAACGATTTTAAGTTTTTATAAAATTTAAATTTAAACGTATACTGGCATGATAAACACAAAAAAAGCAATGACCAACAAAAATAGCTTCAACTGCTGCAGTTGTCTCTATACAGCGGCAGTTTCGGCAATTTGTGGTTAATTAAATCTTTTATTTTTGAGATACAAAAGTGAATATTTGTCTGGTCTACAAGACAATCAAGAGCCGTTGTCGTCCACCCGAATGGACCGCGAAGAAATCTTAATTGGACGGTACCAAATATCGTGCCAGGAGAGTTGCATACGTTGTATTATTATTGTGCCAATCAAGCCCGAGCGTTTTTTTTCCGGCTAATTGGTCGGCGTATACCTACCTCTACGACAGAATTAAAACAAACATACAATAATAATATGTTCGGTAAGATATCGTTATTGCCGTCTCCCCGGTTGACTGTAATTTTATTGCGTTCGACTTTGACAACCTTTGCAGGGTATTACACTAACATAGGTACTTGCAGTATGTGCGCGAATGATAGCATGTTATGGGTAACTTGCACAACAAGCAATCGGTCAATCAAACGGTGCTAAGTCTATTTGAGCTTAATAAAGATAATAAAGCCCTCGAACTAGCCAAATTTGTAAATGTAACGCACCATGCCATCGTAGTGGTTATATACATAAGATACGATTACATTATATTTTATAATGATGTAATCGGGTACATCCATTTAGGCGTAATCTGGGGTAATTTCTTGGGGGAGGGGAACTGTGGAAAACTAAAAATCTATGAGGTAAAATGACGCTATTGGCCACTTAGTTAAATATTTGAGTTCCCCTTGCCCCCCCCCCCCCAGATTACGACTGTGGATCACTCGCATCGTAACCACGGTGTTGGGAAAATTACATTTTTTGTCGCCAAATATTTTACGGCTTATACAAAGTCACTATAAGTTTAATATATTATATGCGTGTGAAACTGTGAATTACAGAACAAGACGTGTGATACGTTATAGTGTTGTCTATAGGCGTGTACTGTTATACTAGCTGGAACACTGACCATACAGGAAAAACGTCTGCAATATCGTGCATAGGGCCTAAACATTTTTACAGTCGATAGGTACCTACGCTCGGGACGAACCACTGGGACAATACGGTCAAAAACACAACTTGACGAGTATTATAATATGTTAGACATAGCTCTGACAACGAAATAAGAGACGACCTAGGTCCTACGAAATTATGCGATATCGTCTACCGGTACACTGTCACTGCGAAAAAACATTACACGTGAATTATGCGCGGTACTCACACGTGTAGTATTCCATCATGTTCTGGTTGTACCGGTAAGCGGCCGTCGACAGGTCCATGGCCGGCCTGAGCGCGGAGAACAGTCCGATGTTGCAGGACGGGTCCAGTTTGGTGGCGGCCGCGCCGAGTTCACCGACAACGGAATCGCAGCCTAGCACCATGCCGGCACATAACACGCACGCGGTAAACACGAGTCGCGAGGGGGTGTATAATTTTTAGGGGAGGGGGGTAGGAACCGTGTGACCGATGCGATGTGCGACGACGATGACGACGAGACGTAGAGGCGACGAGACCACGAGACGACGAGACGACGACGACGACGAGGACTACTAACGGTGTGCGTGTGTGCGCGCGCGACGACGTGCACAATATGTGTATCCGCCGCCGCCGACGACCGGCCGGGGTGGCTTATGTGCGGCGGCGGCCGTGTCGTCGTCGTGGTGCCTATATGCCGCCGCCGATGGGCGGGACAAAGGGATTTTCGCGGTGGGGACGGCCCCCTCCCCACCTTCGCCTCCGCACGCCACCGTCGTCTACACGAGCAGCGCGGAGTATGATTTTTCATCTTTTTCTCCTCTTGTTGTATAATATTATACTATTATCATGTTATTCTATTTATTATCTCTATCTCTTTTTGCATAGACTATACACAATACTATAATAATACGCGATTGCCACCACGGCCCGGAGAGAGTCGGGGAAAAAATGAGATGGATACGCAAAAAATAATAAAAAAATATTATTTTTAGTTTCGACCGACGGATTTTTATCGAGTGCAAATGATAAAATTCTCGTATAAAGTAAAGTCCCTTTAATACCTGCTATATAATATCAACTGTAGTATATGACCTACGCTAATGCCACTATCTATTTGGTTCGGGAGGCTGCAGGTTAATAATTGGTAAATGTATGTTTTTACATGGTTTTTTTTTTTTTATAATTTTCATCCCAAGCGTCTGCATGATGTCAAATTATACCATATATTGTATCGCGAGTTCTAATCCTGCAGTTTACTCACTCAGTTTATGTGAAGTAGAACATTTTTTATTTATTCTCCGCGTCGAAGCGTGCCAAATTTGTGGGTTTCGTAAATATTTGAAATCGTCCCCGTTGGAGCCACCCCACGACGGTGCGCACTTTGATTTTTTTGGGCCCCCGTCAAAAATCCTTTCTGCCTCCACCGTGTATCGCGAGAGAGACATCGGGGTGGTGGTGGATGACGCATGTGCCGCGCGGAGTATCCTGTAGGACCCTTTGCCATTGGCCAATGGGCGGACCGGAAACCCGAAAACGCTTTACGTACGCTTTTTTCACCCTTCTCGATCTCCGCGAGCGTCCCCCTCACCATTTCTCTCTCTCGCCCCCCTCCACGAC